CCGCGTTGCCATGGGGATCTGACCGCGCGCAGGCGCAGAGCTCGCGGCCCGCTGTCAAGCTGCGGAGTGACTAGACCGGGGGGGGCAAACATGGCGCCTGCAGGGCGGGAAACGCCTGGCGGTGGCGGGGCCAAGCTCAGAGCAGACGCGACATGTCGAAGCTACAACTCCGGGAGCGGGGCGAGAGAAACCCACACCCCCCTTCACACGCCAGCAGGTGTAGCCGCTCCCGCCCCTGGGCACCGGGGCTGCCCCTGCGGGCCCTGTTGTGCTGAACGGGGGGCGGGGCAGGGAAAGCGCTGGGCCTCTGGCGGGGAAGGGACTTTCCTCTCCTTGGCCTGCTGCTGCCAGTGCCCCCCCCCCCCCCCCCCCGTCCTCCTGCACCTCTGGTCATACTACGCGCCCCCGCCTCGATCCTGCCTCAGCATCCACCTTCACGCTCCTCCGGGTCGCGTGGCCCTTTGACCGGCTGCTGAGGGTGCAATGCACTTGTGTGCAGCGCCCCAGCACAAGGATGATGCACAGAGGCCACGTACTAGTGCTCTGCACCAGGGTAAATGGGCCCTGAAGGCCTAAAGCACTTTCTGGGTAGAGAGCAGCTCAGACCATGAGCACTCTGGCTCTTACAGAGAGACTAGAACATGGAGAAGCAGAACTGAGTTGTTTAAATGGTTATCGGTTGGTGATTTAAAAACAGATATTCAGACTGGCCTCAGTGGGGACTAGGTCCCCATAACATTTCCAATTTAAAGTGCATCCCTGAGGCAGGTGCACAAAGAAAGTATCTCAGCATTTTCACAGAGTGCAACTAGTGTATTTTTTCACCTTAAAGTAGAAACAAGTGAAAAGATATTCTAAAAAAAATTCACCCTTGGGCTGCAACATGTGGAAAATGCCAGACTCAAAGGAGAATTCACTAGAATGCTGTGAACTCTTAAGAATCGGACTTTTTATCCTGATGAAAGTCACAACAACCTTAACTACAATGCGCTCTACCCAGCAAATGCTGTATCTAACACCACTTCGTTTTATATGTTATAATGAGCTTCCCTCCCTGCCCAGGTTCCCCAGGGAAAGACCTGTGCATTGCATGGGTATGGACACTATTCGTAATTAATATTCCATGCACAGACTTGCCATGTTCATTAACATGATACAGGATCTAGGCTGCATTTTTTGGAGCTGCTGCTGCTTTTTATAAATTTCCCATAACTGGGTTGTTAAAAAAAAAAAAGGCAAAAGCTACTGATACTGCCTAGAAGCTGCACCATGGCCTCTACCTGCCATCTAATCTACTACATTACAAACTGCCTAGGGAGCCTATCCTGTCAGCTTGTCCCAGGACTTTGCTGCTATCACTCCTCCATTGCAACCCTCTCTAGAACAAGTGCTGCTGTTGCTATCAGGATCTGTGCTCTAAGCCACGCACATGCCTGTCACACCTGAGGGATCCTTTAAAACTAGCTCCCTCAGAGACAGGTGTCACTGCATCCATTGCAGGTGCTCTTTTAAACTGATGTGGGAGGTGGCCTCTACGCATGGCTTTCCTGGAATTGAGTTGGTGGTGGTGGGTTTTGTTTTGTTTTGTCTTCTGAACCGCAGCTCGTGCTTTGGTTCATCTTTCCAACCTCACTCACATGGGTAGATGAACACACAGCGGCCTTAATCTTTAGTCTAGCACTAGTCATCAAGAATACAGAAACTGTTCTTTAGTTCACCTCCCACACTGTTGTCTTTTATATACACTTCATGATGGTGATCATCACCAGTGACAAATTTAACACAGTCATTGAGCTGTCAGTCAAAAAATTTCTAGAGCTAAAGTTTTTGGCTATTCCATCTGTAAACACCAGATGGCAATGCGGAATTCAAGGTGGGTTTGCGCAGTGAAAGGGAGACCCCCTCAGATTGCTCAATGTATCTAGGCTTTTTATCAGTAAATGTCTATGGATGTCGATTTCACCGTACACACACAAACTGATGAAAAAATACTTACATTGATAATAATCAGAATTGACAACTAGGTAAAGTAGGAAAAATGCTGCTTGATTAGAGTCGCAATCCAGTGATTTCGTCTTTTGAATTAGGCTTGTGACAAATGGGGCTTGTAGCAAATGAACAGTAAGAACAGGTGTGATTTGTTGATAGAGGATATTCACTTTGTCTAGGTGGACAGGTAATGCTGACAATTTGTGTTTTGATGGTTTATTAAGCTTTAACTTTTTGAATCCCAGCGTCTACTGAACTGATCCTATGCAGACTCATTGAGGAACCACCAGTCCTCAGTAGTCTCTGAAACAACGGGAGTGCCTAGGGATCTTCTGAACCATTACTTCTGAACTTGTTTCTCAGATTTCCTAAAAAGCACCATGGAAGGCAAACTACATCCTGCTCCTCCAACACTGGCTCCAGTTTGGGCTTGTTGTTTTTGAGAGGTTTGCTATTAAGTCTTTGTCTTCGGAATATCTCCATTGGTGCTGCGAGGCAGACAAAGCAGGAGCACAGCTCTTGTCCTCTGTTCTCTCAGTGTCAGCTTCTGTGGTACTCGTTGGCTGGTTTTGGCTTGGAGTATCCGTGCTTGATCCTTTGTGAGAGCAAGAGTTCCAGGCGGGGTGGGAGGAGGGTGTTTGGTCCATGTGAAAAGCTTGTGTGCAGGTCTCAAGGGGGCCCTGAAAAGGGGGGGAAACAGCAGCAGGATGCCTGCAAAGTGACCCCTGGCCATGAGGGGGGCTATCGCATAAGCCAGCTACATCATGCAACACACAGGGATCAGAAGAACAGAGCTGTTTTTTTAAGAACTACAGTTGATGATAATCCCATTCCAACCAGGAGCCCTTACCTCCCATCTGTGCCAGAAGTGGCTATGTGTATCTGCTCTGTTTCTGATACAAGTGAATTGATATCTGTATTTGTAGATCCTGACGGGGCTTGATGATGTGTGAAACACACATAACAAATGCTACCTAATATGTAAGAGCAGAGTTTGTCTGGCAGAAAGAACTATACCAACAGGTCCTATAAAAAGTCACGGACTATAATAATACATGTAACTTGTACACAAATGGAAATACTCCATACACAGAACACGTGGATCTAGGACAATAGCATTAAATGGAACAAAGTTCATGTCTTTCATACTAATTTTTCTTCCTTTCTAAAAATATATATATGTTTTCAGGATGTACCAAAGAAGAGTTCTGGAACGTGCTTTGTAAGAACATGAACGAAGTCCCAACACAGGTCATCTGGGGAAATGAAGATCAGGTATTCTGGTGAATATAGGAACTGGTACTCTTTGTCGCTCTAGGAATGGAATATGAACGAGAACAATTATTTAGGTTGCTTTGCATTTTATTTCCCAGAATCGTCACTCTCATGAGGTGGCGCTGAAGCAGGTAGAAATAGAGTGATTCAAAAAGAAAAAAGCTGATACTAGCTGAGGGTTTGAGTTTAAGTAAAGCTGAGGCTTGAAAGATGCCAGACTGGCAGCAAAGGAGTCCCAGTGACCTCGTGACTGAAACAGGACTGCTGGAGGCAGCGCTAGCTTTACCGTGCTGCCCCAGGCGCGCTGCCTGGAGCTTCACTTGGAGGGGCAGAGCAGTCTGAACTCTCTCAAGTCATGTCTCCTGCTGCAAATGCCAAGATTATCAATTATGAATGTGTTCTGCGTGCTAGGAACTAGATCAGACTCATTTCCCATAGATCAGCCATCCTGGATACCGAGGACCACAGTGAAAGAATGCAATGTGACTAGAGCAGAAAGGTTTCAGAGTAGCAGCCGTGTTAGTCTGTATCCGCAAAAAGAACACTTCTTCAGATGGGCTGTAGTCCACGAAAGCTTATGCTCTAATAAATTTGTTAATCTCTAAGGTGCCACAAGTACTCCTGTTCTTTTAGAGCAGAAAGGTTGCTGGTCTTGTCACTAACCTGATACAATTCCATCCGTGGCCAGGATGGCTATGTTGAACTGGCGGATGTCTCTCTAAGCCTGAATAGCACAGCATTGATCCCTATGGATAGAAACTCCTATCTGAAAAACAGAGAGCGGTTCAGTAAAGTAGCTTAAGAGTGGGGAAATGTTGGTCCTGCCCTTACTAGGAGCAGAACTCTGCTAGCTACAATCCCATTTAAACACAAGGGGTGTTAAAATAGTAGGGTTCTTGCATTATTACCCTGATCTGAGTGTTCAAAGTGTTCTAAAACTGTGTTATAGCCTGCCTAAGAGGATAGGTATCAGAAGGGGGAAAATAGGGTCTGGTTTTCAGAAGTGCTGAACATCTCCAACTCCAGTTTAAATTTATGCTTAGCACTTCTGAAAATCAGGCCTAAAAGAACCCAGCCTGCAGAGGGAAAAAACACCATTTTTAAGGGGAGAAAATCTTGTTTAGGGTCAGCACACAGTGTTAGAGCACTGCTAGTATCAGCCATTCTGATCAGGGTTGCAGCTCGCATTGTTCTGAACACTGGGTGGATAAGGACTAAATGTTCTCATTACTTAACTATTATGAACTTCGTTTGGGTAGATAAAGGAAATAAATGAGGCGCTAGCTGAAGAATCTGATGTGGGGAACAAATGCTTGTCATAGTATCCTACTCTCGTACCCAAATGCATATAAAATAAATGCAGAGATTGTTTGCCCAAAAAGGGTCACAGTCACAGAGTCACAAATAACTTTGTACCCTGAGACAGAGACTTCCTATAGTACTTAGCCCTGTTTCTGTCATGCAAGTGCTGGCTGTTTCTGGAGTGGCTGTTTTAACAAACTCCATTCCTGTCACATCTACATTCCAGACAAAAGTGCATCTTGGAGTGTGTGGATCTGGTGCATAATACACAGGCCATTAAGGAACTAGCATGAACTTCAGGAGAGTTGCAAGAAGTACAGTCTGATTCTGCTCTGACAAGAACCATGTAAATGGCATGCAGTGCTCTGTGTGTCTCCAAAATTCTGAACAGCTGTGCTCAAGTTACAGACAGAGATATTTAGTTCTTGGAGATTCAATCTGGTATCTGAGAACCCAGCTGCTCTGTGCTTCTCATACATCACCTGTAATAAAGGTCCCAAATTAGGCCCTGTACAAACCCACATCATGTCTTTACGTGATGCCATCTGAATCACTTGTGCTAACTCAGAGCTTTCAGTGGAGTTCACAGGTAGGGCTGACTAAATATTAGTAAACTCTTCTGCTGAAGATACACCAGCGGAATACAGATTGCTCCCTCTGAGCATGTTTGGCTTTGCAGGGCTGACCCAGAGTAAAAACAAACAAACAAACAAAAAAGGCAGCAAAATGTTAGTTTAGTTCTTAAAGTCAGCGGCTTTGTCTGAATAAAGTACCTGGAGCAAATCCGCTGAGCAAACATGGAACCTTCTTGCAGCCACTGCTCAGACTAGGACCACACATTAATTTACAAAATTCTGCTGCTCTGAAAAGCTTGTGGGAGTTCTTCTACAGAATGTGACAGTGCCAGAGTTTATGCAGCTCATGTTATCTCATCCTCTGTAACAAAATTTTATCAACATTTGTAAGTGTATAGCAGACCCAGGCAGATTTAAGATTCTCTTAATTTTTATAACCATCTAGGCAATGTGATAGACCCGAAGGAATAAAAATACCTAGAGTCTCAATCTAGAAAAGTTAAGAATATGTAAGAAATGTGGTAAGAGGAAAACCTTCCTGGATTGAGACTTTAGGAATTTTTATTCCTTTGGGTTTATCACATTGCCTTGATGGTTATAAAAATTGTTGAGAATCTTAAATGTCTGGAACATCAGAAAAGTACTGTTTATATCATTATGTCATATGGAGAGAACTATGCATGAAAGTAAGACTTGCAAGATAATACTAACTCCGTATGTGTGGTGAATGAAATGGATGTAAAGAAACTGTGTACTGCATCTTTAAATTTGTTGAGAACCATTTTGTTCTCAGTGGCTTCTGCTGGTTCAGTGGACACACAGATACAGACACACACACAATAGAGCCTTGATTCTCTAACTTTTCTTGTTTGTATTAATCTAACAAAAGTCCTTTAGCCAAGGTCATGGTTGCTCTGTGTGTATGGAAGAACCTAACAGCATACTGGCAGTGGTGGTAGGGGGCGGGGTGTTTCACCACTGAATCCCTCTGCTGTTTACATCTCTGCCTTCAGTCTAAAGCAGTGGTTGCCAAAGCGTGGAGTATGTAGTGGTTGTCTGGGGAGAGCTGGTTGGTCACACGGGGCTCGAGTCTCCTCATTCCCAGCTACATTTAAAAAAAAACAGCTAAAAAGACATGCATGCTTTCCTGAAATTACTTTTCCATCGACGCTGTTGCTGTAGTCCCCACTAAACTTTTGCGTATAACACCTCTGAACAGACAGCAGCTAGAGACCCAAATGTGCCCTCCTCTCAGTGGAGCAGACAGTGCTGGTGATAGTCTGAGGATATCCAGATTGGCATGGAAACTGGAAAGACAAGGGGCCCCACTGCTGGCCAGCACCACCGCTCTTGCCAGCTGTAGGTAAGGTTTTTAAAGACTTAGAGGGCTGTTTAAAACACAGTTCTATTCTGATGCAACCACCATCACCACTAAAATGTCAGAATACCTAGGAGCAATCAGCTCTTGGATTAAGAGCAGTCTTCATGCTCAAGCCAGACAAGACTGAACAGATGCTGATTGGAAAGGAGAAACCCTTTAACAAAATGACTGGGACGATGTCTCCACCTTCCATTGAAGGCGCACAGGCCCTATTCACCAGAGGGGGATGAAGCTTTGGGGTCCTGTCTGACTCCTCACTGATGTGTGGATGGCCAGAAAGCATCAACATCTTAAAATGCCTCCTTTTACCCGCAGCTCATTAGGCAACTTCCTCCCTGATGAGGACTGGCTCCCATGATCCGTGCCTTTCTTTTCAAGTCCCTCCATTATCTCCCAGATAACTCTTGATGCCAGTTTAAGACCTTCATCCTAATTTTCAAGCAATTAATGGATCAAGCTCCAACTACATCAAAGACCAGACTTTGATTTATGAACCTCCATGACAGCTGCGTTCCACTGGGACAGAGGCCTGCCTGCTGACTGTACTGCTTAAACTAAGATGTTGCTACTTTTTGCCTCCTGTTTTTGCAGAGCCAATGTAACTACGGAGACGAGCTTGGATTCCAAGTCTGGCTCCACATCAGCACTAGAATTGTTAAGGATACTTACGGCTGGTTATATTTTAGTTGTAATCTGAACAGACTGGATATGGTGCCTCTGAGATGATAAACACCGAACCCTGCAATCCCTTTCTTATGGTCACTTAAGGTTATTTTGAAGGCATAGGGCTGTATTCTAAATACACCTCCAAATAGCCATGGTCAAAGAGGATCAGACAGCCCAAGCTTTTTTGCCCTGATCCTGGCTCCATTGAGACCTAAGGAGGCTATTACACCAGTCCTGCAAGTGGAGCCACAGAGGAGTGTTCTGAGATATGGGTTTAAGAACTGGCGCACAGACCGTTTGGAGCATTTCAATGCATGTGTACCCTGAACCAGATCCACATAATTCCTCCCCCAACAACCACAGCCATTCCCATCCTGCTCGTCACAGGAATAACATGGGGATGAGGGCTCTAGCTAGCTAGAACCCAGGCTCCCAATAATTTACAGTATTAAAATGCATCCTTTTTCTGGAAAACCTGAAGA